TTGGAAGGCGTTGATTCAGGTTTCGCCACGGCACCCCCCTCATTTGAAACTGCTCGCCTGACCGGCTTGGGCTGATTCTCGGATGGGTTATCACGCAGTCCTGGCGGAAGCAGAGAGTTATTCAGAATGCCGATCAAGGCGGCGGGCAGACGGTTGCTCCGTCCAGTGATGCCAACATGATTGCGCCGTGTAGACCTTGAGACCAGCGCAGCATGTTTCGGCGGTCATGAGCAGCCTCCCAGGTATGGAGGCTGAGGCTTTGTTGCAGTGTGAGCAATGGGAAGGAAACAGGGAAGATTGGCCAGATGCCTACCGCCGCTGCCTAATGAGCCGAGAAAAAGATTTTAGTTGTGTGGTGACGCGGTGGCATGAGATATGGGCAGAGCACGCCCGTCAGATTCATTCTGGTTTGTTTTTTCGGGCTTCCCTTGCCGGTCACGAACTTCAACCAAGTGAGTCGCTTCACGGAAGCTCTACACCGAAGATTCATCTCTGTCCACGTATTTCGGTGATGTGCCTCTCTTGCTCTGCGCAAAGGCAGCAGCCAGTGCACCCTTTCGCGCGGCCAATGAGCTCATGGGCTCCCCTTCGCACCAGGCAAGTGCCAGCGGGTGCGTGCCTCTGTCTTCCGGCGCGTGGGCAGTACCCAAGCAGTACCGTGCTGTGTGCACGGAAGGCTGCAGTCCAAAGTCGGAGATACGTCGGTAGAGACAGACGCGTGCTTAATAGCAGGCGCCGTGTCGAAACTGTATGGCATTGTATTCCATTGTATTCCTAATTGCTTCGAGCATAGAATCTATGGCCGGATCGGGCTGCAGGCGGTCGGACTTGCTTTCTTTGTCCTTGCTCTCTTTGTCTAAAGTAATCCGCGCAATGCTGGCATTGCTACCGAGGAGGGTGGTCGTGATCCTGTGCTTGGTGTGTGACAGGTTGATGGGCCAACGACGATGCCTGAGGTCTGGGAAGCGGACGCTTCCATTCCTCTCTAAGCCGGGTGACATCAAAATCGCGCAGTTGGAACTTTCCATGGTACTCTACACGCTCAGTGTAGGGGCGCACTCCTTTGGCGGTTTATTGACAAATTGGTTGCGTTGATGACGCGCATGCCAGGGCGCTCTGATGCACGTGGCGTCTGATGTTCTCCCTACAGTGTTACAGACATGGATGTTCTGCGCGTGGGTGCTGTCCAAATCCAGTTGGTCGGACACTTCCCTAAGCAATATTGGGAGAAACTCCAGGTTCAGTCCCTTGTGAACACAGATTGCGAATGTCGCGAGAGGGAAACAGTGCGGCTATGCATGTTACACGCGTAGAAAATAAGAACAGTGCTGAGTGTATAGAATAGGTTATAGGTGTATATATATATATAAACACATTCAGATTTTTTACATTCAAGTTTTTGTTTATGAAACGTGTCTGGTGTGTACAAAAGGTTTATTTGTTGGGTCATCGACGCATCTGAAATGCAGGATTGCGTGGGGACTAGGGCACTTATGTAAAGGTGCCCGAAAGCTCCAAAGCTGATTTTGGGTTGTTTTGATGGGAAGCAAAAGCGATGGCAAACAACAATTTCGCTCGCAGGCGACTTTGGAGAAGACGTTCTCGAGGTACGGGTTGCCGTCAGATGTATGATCCAGTTGCAGCAGGTTGCTCAGGCAGAAGCTTCAAAACTACTTCCCCTGCAGGCGATCATGCGAGGTGTGGAACAAAACTTGAAGCCGTCTGGGCATTTGAGTGCTGTCACCTATGCTCCGAACACACCAGAGATGGCCGAGAGGAGAAAGAAGTGAACATACAGTGAAAGAGTGTAAAATTTGAGTTGTGGTATGCGTGGTTCAGCCATGCTTGCGGCAGGATCGCTCGATACTTGAAAAGCCCTGCCGGCTTGTCGCCTGCCATCACGGTCTTCAGCAGCAAGCTGAAGCCAGCCAAGGATATTTGCCTAAGCATCATTGTTTAGCTTCCTGTGGCAAGTCCAGCACATTCCACGGGAGCCGGTGTTGTCTTCATTGTTTGGAGGAGTTCCAACCCGTATCTAGCGCAGTTGAAGCTGTCCGTTACCAGGCGGGCAACAAGTCACCGCAAGCCTCCTGCAGTGTAGCAGACCATCCATGTTGAGCATGTGCCAACATAAGACGCTGGATTGCAGGAGGCACTGGTGGAGGTTGGGGTCAAGACGATGGCCGAAGCCATAACCATTGTTAGTCTGGGCCGTGAAGAAACGCAGCGCCTTGGCATTCCTCTAACAAACTTTGGCGATATTATTGGATCAATACATGGCACGTGCAGTCATGTGCATCAAGAGGAACTTCGTCCTCAAGGAGCGTCTCTTTCAGGACGAGGAATACTTGAGAACTCTCTGGAAGGAGCACTTGAGCCGTTCGAAGAGCTAAGCGAAAAGTGTCCGTTATTATCGAGTCGCAAGTGCACTTTGAAAGCAATCTTGGCCTTCTCCGGCAACCGCTAATGCTTCCTGCTGCTGGCTCAACAGTATTGATCAGAAGACTGCAGGCATGGGTTGCCTGTTTGGCATTCCCTCCCCAAGCCAGCATCGAACGGCAAACATTCAGCATGAACGTCATTACATTGATGATGGGGCTGCCTTGCCATCATGCCGTGGAATCGTCAAAACATATTTAGATGTGGATTAGGAACGGCAGCTCTTGCAAGGAAAAGGCTAGGCAGGCAGGAAGAACTTCCGTTCAACTCCATAGCATGCGCGCCTGGCCCTTGCCTCCAGAATGGAAGCTGCAACCGAACAAACTGAGATCCTGCCGTTGCAATTGTTCCTCGATAGATCACGGGAGAGTTCCTGCCATGGCAGCCGTGTTTCAAGGCACACTTGAATACAGGGGTTACATGGGGCTTATTTAGGGATTATATCAGGATTATTCCGGATTATGTAGGATAGCCATATCATGCAAACAGGTCACAGGCTGAACCTTGGCGCTGCATGTTGAAAGCATTGGCTGAAAGGGAGATCCAGATGAGCCACATGGAGGGCGGCAGCCATGTGCGGCAGAACCAGGCGGAGCTTGGATCAAACTTGATGCCCGTAACTGGGTTGCTGTTAAGGAACTTAAATTAAATTATCATAATGGGTATATATAGTAAATAGTAGGGTTTCCCCAATATAGTAACTGAATTTAAGTTCCTTAACAGCAACCCAGGTAAGGGATCACACCAGGGAAGCTGGATTGGATGTGCCTCAGCTTCCTGCATCTTCAAGTAGAAGCTGTTTGAGTAGAGGTGGTTTTCGAAGCTGCAAGACATGCCCAAGTCGTCTGGATGCTGGAGCAAGGTGATTGGCTCCTTCAGGCAAGAGGCGAGCGCTGATTCCGGCCAAGTAGCCGCACTGACGCTAGGTCAGACATTGAATCAGAGCCCCTCTTACTCTTTCGAGCTTGATAACCACTGGAGCATGCCATCAGGACACCAAGCTGCTTCAGCCTCGTACTCATGTGTGCAGTGCACAAAGTTCCCTGGCTAGCCTTGTGTTTATTCTGCAACCACAGGCTTTAGTGATTTCGATGTCAGGTCAATATGTGGGTGCCGCTGTTATTGGTCATCCCCGTGTCTCTGGCGCAGATGTCAGCGGACTTCTCAGCATTCCGAAAGCAAATGCCAAGGCCCAGAGAACGCCCGCCTTGCGATCTCTAGGTGCTTTACATTATCACCTTCAAATCCCCGGAGTATCTCTTTGCGTTGACGTCCTAGTTTGCAATTCAGGATGTTTGCTGTCCCAGGGCTTGCTCCGCAGCAATAACGATGGTCTGAGGTCTGGACGATGGCTCCTGCCGGTCTCTGCATCCAAGTCGTTGAACGCCATGAAAGCCTTCGCCTCCATCCTAATGCTGGGACAGATAGCAGAAGAGTTCTACGAAATTGGTGCCTCAGAATTAATATCAGACCTCTGTCACAGTCGGCTGCAGCCTGTCCTACCTGGCTTGCCCGCATGGCAAGCTTTTCAAGGTGAGTCTGCTAGCGTTCTTCGCCGGTGCCGTCTTGTCAAAACATGGCGATTTTACGCCTGCTGGCTGGTTGTTGCGATGCAGTTGCCTGGCTGTTGAGAAGTGGGAAGGATGTGCCAATTGTGGAGAGTGGCCGCACATAGCGACTTCCATGCACTGTGTCGGAGCACTCCAGGTATCTGCTCGCAATGGCGGTGCTAGTGGCATCTGATCATCTCATCCTCAGCAGGGAGAAGCCAATCGAGCCTTTGTGGATCACTTACTACGTTTTCATGACCCTGAATTTCGACAACATGCTTCCTGGACACAACTTGGTACCAATCTCTTGTATGCACATGCCTTGTTTGCCTTTTCCGATTCGCAGCATAGAGGCTCGTTCGCTTTATCAGCTACGTGCAGACTCTGGAGCGGTCCCCAACTTGGAAGGTCGACGTGTATGAACCTACATCGCCCACCTCGACACAAGGCGCAAAAAGGCGTGGTGGTGAGTTCCAGGGGTGTTTGGTAACAGAGTATCGCATCCTCTTCGGAAACTAGCTGGCGTGACGAACCACCATATCACCCGCGTGCCAACTCTTGACAGTACACTCAGTACAAACTTTCTTCTGGCAGGTCTGACCACATTCAGCGCTTGCTTCTGGTCTGGATCCCGGTGTCTATGGCAATCATGCTTCACATTATATCTGGAGCCTCTTGCCTTCAAACAGACTTGAGCAACCAGGATGCAGATGAGTGCAAGGCTTCTGTTTGGCAATCAGGTTTTCAACAAACTTCCGATTACTGTGCTGCGCTTTGGATGGGTGACGAACGACAATCCCGTGGTGTCTTGGTAGAGTTGCCAACAGCGAGATTTTCCGCATGGTTCGACATCACTTCCCCCCTGCTGATGCAAATTTTGATGAGCGCGCAAGTCGTCATCTGAGGTTATGATGACACCTAGCATGGGCCTTCCTCACAGCTGCTGCGCTGCGGAAGCTGTCTGGCACGGGAACTCCACTGTGTCCGATGATGTGGTTAGATTCAGCACCTGAGCTGTTCAAGAACGAAGAAATTCAGATGTTGCCGATGCCAATGCTGTCCATGTACCGCAACTCCTTTGCAAGTCTCTCTAAAATCTTACACCGTTTACACCGTTGCTTTCACGACACTGACGGTAGAGCTCGAGCGCTGCCTTTCTAACGATTTTTTTCTGCAAGGCTGCACTTGCAGCTCTTCTTGAAACCTGCACTTGCGTTAAGCAAAACGCTCATGTAGAATCCCGCTTGTGCAATGCTATCTCTTGACAGATCAAATCTTTCCTCTTTACAGCTCAGGGATGCGCACACAGATGTGATGATCCAAGGCGTGCCGTGCCTATCCAGAGATGCTCCTGAAGATCACAAACCTGCGCCAGTCGTGTCCGCCCTGTTGGAAGCTAGCTGAGAGCTGGACTGCGGGGCTGAACCACGGAACCGCTCACTTGCATGAGGTACTGGGTGGCATGGCCGAGACGGAAAGGTACTCCCACAAGTCTACAGGTCCTGGAGGGTCGTGGAGCAGACGGATCGCATGGGATGGTGTCAGGCCGCTTCTAAAAAGCAAGTTACCAGAGATTTCGACAAAATGCTCAGAATTTTATGCACCTAGCATGCCACGAGTATGCTTCAGTTGTTTGTTGCGGACATGCAAGGGCGGGCAACTGCGACTCCACTGCAGCTCACATCATGGTTGCACCGGAATGGCTACCAAGCATCTGGGATTGTGGGATGCCACAAGCTTGTTCGCCAAGGTTTCTCAGGTCTTGGGCTTTCCAAGGTTCACATTCCAAGCTGAGAGTGCGCAAGCAGCTTAGGCAGGTCAGGCACAAGAAGTCTTCGACGCACTGACCGAGCCCACAAAGGGATTTGGGATGCGTGGCGTTGTTGGGTTAAGAAGCTGAACATGCGGATTGATGTGGCGTTGCTGTTGCTGCTGAAGAGCATTCGAACCATCAGTAGGATGTAACGGTGAAAGGATGTATCGCCACACATTCCCTTACGTGGCGGAGTTTGCGGTCAAGAACTGGCCATGGAAAGAAAACGCGGCCATCTATGCCATTGCCGTGAACAAGCAATCAGGTTCTGGAGTTTCGAAAACACTGCGCCCATTTTGACGGCCTTGTCTAGGGGTCTCGAGTTTCATGTTTTCAGCGGAAACCCTTGCCCCAGCACAACACAATGTGTTGGCCAAGCGTCGTGGCAGCCATTGTGGGAGCGGTAGCAGTGGGTGGGGAGCGGTGCACAGGCCCGGTGGCGGAAAACTTGTGGCAGGGGGAATTTGGGGTCAAGCCTGTTTGGGCTGCATGTGTTAGCATTCCATGTTTCCACAGTTCATGGGTTCATCTGCATATCTCATGGTATTTAAGTTTTTATGTGACCCTACATTCACTATTATTGTATAAGCCAAGAGAATAGAAACCTCACTGAATAACAAGTTTGGTGAAGCGGACAGCATGTGTTTGCTAGTCCAGTCTTTCCTTGTTGATGGTGGCAGGAGTATATGATAAGTACATGCAAGATAGGGTGCAATCGCTAGACGATATGCGAGGCCTCCCAGTCAGCGTGGTGCCTACACGTAAGCAACGTCAAAACCTGTGCGGCATTTGGTTTGAGAAGTCTTTGCGGGTTGTTCGAATCCATGCTGTACACTCACGTCCACCATCAGGTGTTCATCATGCTTCAAGCTGGCTTTCCCAATTTAGGGCTTCATTATGTCGTGTGCAAAAATTGATTAGACGCAAAGTGCAGCAAAGAAATAAGGGAGGTTTGTTTGTAGGGGGAACAGGTTGCAAGGACATACAAGGACTATTAAGGGATTGAGAGTGAAAGGCAGACATGCCTTTCTCAAGAGGATGGTTGGAGTTGGAACGGATCTTGCAGTCTTCATGCTTTTCTGTCAGGTGCCTTGAGCCCTGAGCCGGTGGCTTCCGACGTGCTCATCCTATTCAGTGGGAGATGTGGGAATCATTGCTTGCACTGCAGTCACAAGGGTGTCTGCCGCCAATGCCAGGCCACTCCAAGTCTCTTCTTGCCTGAACTGTTGTCTAAACTCTTTCATGGGGGTTTTATAGGGCATTACATAGGGGAGTACTCTAGAGGTTATTAAGGGGGATACTAGCAGTTTAGACTTTGGCCCACTTGTCATGGCACAGCCCGGCGCAACGGCAGGCTGGCTACCGACCTGCTGGCAGCGACTGCGTGGCTTGTGGGCGAGGCTGAAAGCACGTTCTGTTAGCAGGGTTGTATACGGGTTATGATAGGGGGTTATCAAAGGGGTTATATAGGGGTTATATAGGGAACATATAGGGAGAGTGAGAAGGAAAATGGAAACTACGGTTTAGGGCTTAGGTTTTAGGTTTTGGACATTGTTGGGTCCTGTTTTCGGTGTCCTCATGATCATAATGATAATGATAATGATAATGATAAGGATCACAGCAGTTTGAGGTTTTTCAGGGTTTGCCTCGAATTTGGAACCTTAAAGCCTAAACCTAAATCCCAATTCCAGCTACAACCTACCAAAACCAGGTTGCCAGCAGTGTGACGGAGACGGAAAGTGTAAGACGTGCAAGGCAACTTGTCTATTCTCGCAGAGGTTTTATCGTTTCCCAAAATACCGGGACCTCAGTATAGACACTAATATGCTAGAGTCCTTTCTATGGGGGCCCCAAGACAGGTAACTCTAATTTGGGTACACGCTTTTCTCAGTCTTCAGCAGCAACATGGCAGGGGAGCACGTCTGCAAGCACTAGTAGAATCTAAGGATGGTTTTGGCTTGTCAAGCACCGGGAGCCTTTGCTTCCCGTGTGCCACAGAGAATTGTTTCGCCTGTGATGCGCAGCTTCAAAGAGATGGTCCTGAGGTACCAGCAGGGTGTGTAACGTTTGGTGTGATATGAGCTAGAGTCTAAACTCCTTCAAGGGAGCTTTTATGGGGTATTATATAGGGGGTATGATAGGGGTTATGAAGGCGGATACTCGGAGTTTAGACTATAGCTCATATGCCGGCGTTTGCCTTCGACAGTTTCGCATTCGGTGCTTTGACGGTTTTGTGAACGGAGTGAATTCATTCATCAGCAGACTCTTCAGACTTTTCACAGGAACCTAGACCCATGAATAAGACAATTCCATGGTTCCAGGAGCCGCATATGACATGCCGATTTCTTCTTCCAAGAGCATGACAAAGGGTTTTTCAGCGGAGGCGGTTGTCTAATAGGTTTTTGTGAGATTTGTGTTTTAGGACGGCGTAAGGTTTGGCTGATGGTTTGGTTGATGGGATGATGTGAATGGGATGATGTGAGTTGATGTGAAGAGGTTGTTGTATGGCTGTCGTGAGGTTGTCCGATTAAATTTGCTGGGATGATGTGAAGAAGTTGTTGCATGGTTCTCGAGAGGTTGTCGCAATGTCGTGATGAGTTTGCTCTATGGCTCTATCTTACTAAACCCTGAACCCTCTGCCTTACTAAATTTAAGATGTTCTAAAGCACGGGGCACGGCTAGCGGGATCCACAGCACTGGCGCGTGTGCGCAAGTGATGACCCCGGTGCTGATTCCAGCGCATAGTATAGTCCCCCTTGAGTAGATACAGGGGTTATAGGGAACTACTATTAGGGTTTAGGGTTTATAGTCCCTTTTAAGTAGATAGAATATGGCTGAGGGTATATTAAAATAAGATCCCCATATACCCTATATTGTATCTACTTCAGGGGGACTATACTGTTAACTGGGAATAGCAATCACAAATAGTAATAGTACATAGTAATGTTGGAACCTGTTTTGAATCCCCCCCCTCAACAATTGACCATCCTTGTTCATGCTGGGCCAACCCCCAAATTTGTCGCACAATTAACATCGGAAAAAACACGAATCTAGGTAGTAACCTTACAGCTGGTCTTTGTTTTCGTATTAGCGTTAGTACTGGCACTACCATTAGCGCAAAATTCTTTGAAACCTAACTAAGCCGATGGGACATCTATTCAACACCAACTATGATCTTACAAAATTCAGTTAAAGTCCAATCAAAACCAGTTTAATCCTAATTCAAATTAATTGAAATCTGAAATCTATTTACACTGCAACATTAACTTGAAATCTACTTGAAATCAATCAAGATTCAAGTAATAACAGTTAGACTCGAACTCAATTGAAACCAACTGAAAATTTCATAGCTTCCACTTCAAAACACTCTATGGAACGAAAATTGAAATCCGATTAGAACCAATTGAAACATAATTAAGATGAATTTGAAACCCGATTGACATCATTGGAAAATCTAAGAAAAATCAAGTATAATCTATTTGGAGTTAGTTGAGAACCTCATGAGCATCAAGTAAGATCTAATTCCAACCAATTGAAATCCATCTAAAACCAATCTAGAATGCCGTTAGGACCAGGTGAAACCTAACTGAAATCTATGCAAGGGCCAACACAAAATCATTTGGAAGCTGAGTAAAACCAGTTGAAATCCGATGAATTGAGATCAAGTGGAAGTGTTGTCAAAGCAAGTAGACCTAATCAAAAACCGTTCAAATCAAATTAAAAGCAATTGATAACATAATTAAAACAACGGGAAATCTAATTCGAATCACATTAAAGCTAATTGAAACCACTTGACATCGACTCGGATTTTTTATCAAGTCAGAATGGGTACTATTCTGGTGAAAATTTAGAGCGCTTTGTTGTTCCCGAGTCCCCCCAGAACACATGCTCAAAGTGGATCCAGGCCTCGGCTGGACCAGCCCCCACAAAAGTTGACGGCTCGTATGTTTTTTGTATAATCCCGAGTCAGGGATTCTGGACTCTCTGATATATATATATATATGTAGAGGCTGTGGTGCTAGGACTTTGAATGTCAATCCTTTCCGGCCTGAGGGTCAGGGCCTGTAAGTTTTGAAGAAATCCCATTGACAATTTTGGTGGCCGGAAAAGTGTTTTTATTATCCCAGACCCCCCCAAAACAAATGCTCAAAGTGAATCCAGGCCTCTGCTGGTCTAAGCCCCCACGAAAGTTGCCGGCTCGTATGTTTTCGTATAATCCCGCGTAAGTTCATATGGAGCTGGCATCTCTTGGTTTCTGAATTTTGGCGTCTCTGATATCTGGCCTTATAGGTACGGCTCTCGTGCGAGAGCTGTGGAATTCAAATCCTTTTAAGCCTGAGGCTCGAAGCCTTTCAGTTTTAGAGGTATCCTGGTCTAAGAGAAGAAGTAGTCTCAGAAAACACTTGCAAGCTATTTCTGTTATGTCTCATGCTTCTCTTAGCGGAAAGAAACCAAAGTCATTCAATCAATTTTACTATAGTTAATATCCTGGGCCCTAAAATATTTCATGATTCTGGACCCTCAAATAACACCAGATCCTGACTAACTTCCAAACCGGGTCCCTCGTGTAAAGGGGTCAACAGCATAAATAGGGCATAGTACTAGTAACCCGTATATAGTGTATAGTCGTAGTAAATCGTAAATAGTAAAGATAATGTTACGAGTAAATAGCAATTTAGGACTTCAGGCTGCCGTCTATGTAAACAGACAAGCATAAATGGAGCAGAAATAGTTGGATGATGTAGCGTGGGATGATGCAATGATCTTGTTGTTCGGGTTTTGTACTGTCTCGGGTTGGCTCTTCGTGCTTCATACCCTTCGTCCAAACCATTGCGGGACAGTCGTTCTCTAGTTCTACTAGGGGTTCAGGGTAAGGGTTCCTCAGTTAGTCAGATTCAACTCTGGAGCGGATTTTTGGCAGGCAGTTTATGGCGAGTTGGAATGCCAGAGTCTCAGATGGTAGAGGTGTGTCCCTACCCCTTGTACTTATACATGTGAAATATGCAGGCGGGTTGAGGGGTTGCACAAATGTAGCACAGCTTTGCTCAACATCTATGAGCTCCTCATATGTACTGTTCTTCTGCAGAGGAGAGGCTGGGAAGGGGATAGGTGCCTGCAAGGACGGTACTTTGGGTTTTCGCCTGCGAGACGCTAGGTAGTCAGAGTTCTTACAAAGTTTTTGCACGACTTGTCGTGTTCGATGCAGACAGCAACTATGACGATGTTGTGACCTCAAGTTTTTCCAGGAAGAGCTTCACCAATGTTTTCGCCCGCGCCTGCCGAAAGCTTCAACAGCAGCATCCTCTTACCTAACCATGTTCAACCATGCCGGATCTGACACGCTGACAATGATAAACAGATGGTAGTGCATCATCAGCCAGCACAGCCTGCAAACAAGCGATGACAACAGCCAGGGACTTGACAAGTCGCGTTTGCAGATGTTAGCAGCTTCAAGGCTATTGACAGGACAGCATCGGCTGTCCAAGGACTTGAAAAAGGCTGCACGAAATGCAAAATCACGCGAAAGTCCGGATTTCAGGTTATCAGAAAGGTTAATGTGCAGCCTCGGTGAGGGCGGCAGGGACGGGCAGCGCAGCCACCACAGGAGAACTGTCGGGTGCGGGTTTAGGTTTGGGAAGGGTGTCGGCAGGTGCGGTCCCAGACAGTGTGCTTGGGAGCAAAGAGAATTGGTTAGTGCTGGCGTGCTGTTCGCCCCGGCTACCTCCATTCCCTTTCGGGGTAGCTCCCATGAACAGCATCCAAGCAATTTGGGCTCGGACATCGTGCTTCCGCCTCGGCACACATGGTACACATGGGGTTGTACAAAAAAGCCATCCTCAGAAAAGCAATCCTGGGTTTTTAGGTGAGACTCGGCATGCGGATGTTTGCGCCGGTTGCGTTTTTAACTCCAAAGCAAAGGAAACAGAAGGCCGCGAACGCGAATTGTAGGTGAGGTTCCTGACAGCAATGGTTGCACATCCTTGTAACACTGAGGCCGTACGTGTAATGATGGCTATGGCCTGTCTGCGAACAAAACCTGCTCACCGTGCGAACAGAAGAACTGCCACTCGGCGATCAACTTTGATCTGATGTAAGTTGACTGGTGAAGTTTAGTGGTTCTGCCCAAGACAGGCCGGAAATGCGAAGAAGAGCGTTGCGAAGTATGCCAAGTAGGTTTTGCAGTGGTGGAGGACCTGACATGCAGCTATTTCATCTCCTTCAAGTTTTCAAGCGCTCAGTGAGGATGGTGCACGATGTGAGCCGTGTGGGGAATCTTGTGTTCACTGCAAAAAACCTGGCGAATGTGAACGATGCCAGGTCGGGTTTTGCTGTACCTTCTTTATCTAGCCTCACGTCGCATCAGCTCATCATGTTGTGCAGTGTTTATTCTGACAGGAAGGTTTTGCGATTGCCAAAGATGGTTCCTGTGTTCCGTGCGGCGATTTCTGCAAGAAGTGCGAGGTACGGAAGGCCCGCCAGTGCTGTAGGTGAGACGCATACTCATATTGTGGGCTCCTTGCTACATTCTCACTCTATCTATCTCTGTCTCTCTCTCTCTCTCTCTCTTCTCTCCGCTCTCTCGCGTGTTTCCTCCCCTTGTCCCTTGCTTGCGTTCTCTCAGTTTCTCGTATGTTTTTCAAGGAGGAAGGGTGCGATGATGGAGGATGCCAAGCTGGATACGGACTTCAGGGATTGCACTTTGGCCGCTCCAGCGCAGTCCTTATGAGTTTTCGGATTGGAGAGCAAGTGCTGAAGGCATGAGAAGAGCATCTTCTCGCAGTCACCGCTTTGCCTGCCATGCCCAATGGCGCACTGCGATGTGTGTGATCACAGCCAAAGTGCCTGCAGCTTGACTTGTTCATTCTCTGGGTTCTTCACCTTGAAGACTAATGCTTGCTATGAATGAAGTCCGAGTCTAGCTTTTTTTGGTGGCTCTTTATGTGTGCACGCGCCAGTCTTCAAGTAGACATTTCCTCCCAGCCACACAAGGTGAGCAATGCCAGCAGGACTTTGAGAAACTTCCTTTGCAGTTCACCATGTAGTCCACATGAAAACTCCTCTGGCCTTCAGAATCTCATGGTTTTTTCTGCAAGCAGCACATGCCTTGACACTGTGCGTAAAAGCATTGGAGCTTCGCTTAAGTTTACGAAGCACCTGCAGGACTTCGGCATCACGCCATCTGGACATTGCGCCATGTGTGGATCGGGTTGCGTGGAGTGTACCGTGGCGGGCAGCTGCGAAAAGTGTCCCTCGTTACCAATGGCAAACCAGCTCTTTTTGTGCTCGTGCAGACTGGGAGCGTGCGAACTTGCTTTAACAGCTTCCGGGGGGTGGGTGCCAATAGCATTAGATTCCTTCCAAGAGTAGCGTGTATGCGCGACTAGTTCTGTTGTAGGGCGGCTGAATGTACTCGCAGACTAATCTTGTTCGGTGGCACAACTAATTGCAACAGCTGCTAGAACCATGCTATTCACTGATGTGATTTGTGCCTTTCTGGGTTTCTGGCGAGAAGGGGACACTAGCAAGGCACCTCAAACAAAAAACGTTCCATGCCGGCTTCTTGTCTCTGCTGCAGAGAGCCAGACACTGCAAGGGCGTCCCATATTTGGAGTTTTCAAAGCCCGACAACTCAAACAGTGGTACTCCCGCGAGTTCGCCGAACTGGGGTACAGCTTTGGCATTTCTTAATTTTTCAGAAACATGCTTTTGGAGGAATTAGAGTAGCTGTGGTGCTATCAAGAAATGGGTAGCGGTGGAATTTCTTATTAAGAATTACAGCAGCTGTGGTGCTGCTTACCGAGAAGTAGAGCAGCCGTGGTATTTCTTTTTCTCTCTTGTAGCGAAGCAGATGTGATAATTCTTATCAAGGCTTAGAGTAGCGGAGGGCAGACGCGAATTGTTCGTGGCTATGCACAGAAGACGTAGTCGGGCGTTCGCCGCTTCGAGTTGTGCGTATGCCATAATATACTCTCGGCTTTCAAACGAATTTGGGGTTCCCCAAAATCAGGGGGTATCATTTTGGGTACCAATGATAAGGTATATCATAAGGATTATACTAATTTGGGGTCTTTTTTGGGGTCTACCTATCTTGGGAAGCTACCATATAATACTTAAATAGCCCTATATGGAACAGCTTCCATTTAATTTCCGTTTGATTTTCCATTTGATTCTCTATGATTCCTATCCAACCCTAGTTATGTTGGGGCCGCCATGCCCTGAGCCAGAGGGATGCGGCTGACAGGAGCAATCGAGGGTATGGCATACGAATAACTCAAAGCAAATATGTATATATATATATGTATTTATAGGGTTATATAGGGGCTATTTGGGGAGAATGGAAAAATGGAAACGAGCATAGTATACTGGAATTATGAATAGCTGCAAAGAGGGCGTAGACCCGACTAGGTCGACAGCTCGTAGCCGCCACGAATTTGCATCTGCTGGGCTACTCCAAGGTAGCACATTTGTCCGAGAACTAGAATAGAACGCGTATTCAGACCGATTAAGACGCATTTTGAATTCGCGCAAAGCTTCCACTTGAGCCTGGCCAGCCTTTGCTTCCATTCTCTGATAGTACTGCTGCGACCTCTTCTGTCAAAGGGGAAGTCAGAATCTGTGGACAAGTTCAAGCTCAGTTCCAAAAAACGGACAAACGATATCATCTAGTACTGTGGTTTGCTTTGGGGCTGGCATTGTGAATCCACCACTGCAAAGAGCAGAGGTAAAGGAGGCTTCGTCCTCGTGAATGGTGCTTGCCAAGCATGTGGTGACAAGTGCGGGAAGTGCGAGACTTCTGGTCCGGGATCCTGTGATGACTTCGGCTGCGAGCTGGTGCCGGTTGCATGCTGTTGGAAGATTTTTTGGTGCTTCTCTTTGCTTGTTGCCTGTCAGTATCATTATGGAAAGAGACGGAGCGTGCCTTCTAGTGAGCGTACGTTTCAGCTTCCTGTGGCAGGGATGGACAGCACCGCGGCCGCAGCTAGAGCAAAGGGGGTCATAGTTTTCTGAAGCTTCCGCTTCCACTCATACCATGGTCTTGAACTGCTTCTGAAGCGCTTGCCCTTCACTTGCTAGGCGGTGTTGCTGTCGAGCGCAAGAAAGGAGCCAGATCAGTGTTCCTTGTGCGCTTGATTTGTGATTCTGGCCCCGGATGGCTTCAGGACTCTCTGGTCTGTCGGCCATGCTCAGACCCAGAGTGCACGTCATGCGACAGGGAGGGTCCTGGGAGCTGCGACGACGAGGTGCTGCAGTGAGGGGGTTGGGGAGTGCTTTGGTGCACCGGGTCTTCGATACTTTGAGGGATGGAATGCAATGCTGAGGCGCTTCACGGCCCGTGGTGGCCAGCTGGATGGGATCCGCCGAAATGAATCGTTGTCAAAGAAGTGCAGCATCCTGAAACAAACTTTCCAAGCTCAGGTAACATGCTTGAGCTCGGGAGATCCCAAAGCAAAGGATCTTCCCGCATTCGTTCTGTGCGATGATCGATTAAAAATTAAAAGATCTGCGCTGCCACCTTTCTTTGCTACTCATGATGCTTCCTCTCTCTTCCACTCGACCGGCAGCTTTGGCTCAGGCTGATGAAGAACAAACAGATAACTCACTCATCACCGAGCCTCTGACCTCTGTACCAGCTGTACCACAGCTGTTTCCACAAGCACAAACTAGGAGCGGTCGCCTTTTGGAAGTGTTGATGCCATGCCCATACTGCAAGCTGAAAGTCGAGGGCCTTGTGGTTGGTGTTGCCGCAAACTCAGGCTCGTGCAACATCTTGCTGGCAATAGGGACTTCAAGAATGGAAAAGAACATGGAAACTGCCGTACTACTTGGGATTAGATATAGGCGTCCGCTCTTCAATTCCTCAATCAACAACCAGTATGTCATGTGCCATAGACTTCTTCCATCAGGGAGCCTGTCCGGCAGGTTTCTGAAACTCCAAGTGGAGGAGACCGCCACTGCAGATGCCGAAGTCATGCGCTTCCGTTCTCGGATGCAGCAGGCTCTTGATGAGACTCTTATACTGTTCTTTTGTGGTCTTGTAGATCGGTTCTCACTGTCCCATTTCCGCATAGTTGTACGCGGAGTGTCAGCTAATGAGCATGGGGTCACAGTGCGCCAGATCAATCCAGAGAAGCTCTTCTTTCTCATTACTCCACGCGCGAGCCTTGAAGTTCCGTATGCATCCAGCAGAGAGTATGCCGTGCAATGCATGAATAGCTGGCGCTGGCCTTTCCGAAGGGCGTGCTGTCAATGGAGTTGAAGGGGCGATGCCCATAAACCAGTCTTGCGTCATGATTGGACAGCAAGGCCATGTGAGCGAATTCCTCAGCACCTTGGCTGCAGCATCGCTGAGGTGGGACAAGTCATGCACGGAGAATCCAAGGCTTCGAGGGCACCCTGGGCGAAGGCGGATTTGGAACTGTATTCAAAGGAAAACCTACACCTGCTGGCCACAAACTTGCCACCTTGACCTGCAAACAAGACTGACTGATGAATAGAGCCATGTAAGTCAAAGGGGCCAAGCCACCGAGGTTCCAGAGATGCGACCGAACAAGTACTACGCTTCCTGCCTTCGATTAGCCCAGCAGTTAAGGATCTGTCTGCTGACTAGGCTTCTGAATGTACTTGCACTTGGAAGCGGCAGCTGTCTCAAGGCAATCAAGATGATCCGTAAACCCAGACGGGGTGGCTTTGCCGAGGAAGTTCCTTGGAATAGATGATTTGCAAGTTGACTTCAAGCTGTTTGGTTTACTGACTTGCCTCTGCTTTCTTGGCCCTCTAGGACCAGATATGTAGCCAGCTACCACGCCACAAGAGAAAGCATGCCAGCTCCGAAGTGTGAGCTACATCACATCTTACAGTCAAGGAAGTGAGAGAAGAACTCCATGTCAGCATCAGACGTAGTTCCTGAAGCTGGAAGCAATGGACTTTATCGCGCCATGGATTCATTCTGAGCCTGCGCAAGCCAGTCTTTGCCGAGCAGCATCAGGCGGGCCGTTTCGTACATCCGGACACAGTATTCACATTTGGGTCAGCAAACTGTGATCTACGCGGAAGGATGTCACTTGGCGGCAGTTCCGCACCAGCTTGCCAGCAAGAAGTTCTTGCTCCCGGTTGTGGGACTGGTTGCAGCCTGCAAGCTGCGTGGCCTGCCTTCTTTGGTACCAGCCTGAAGTTCTGCCTACTCTAACACAGTCACCTCTAATGCTCCCAAGGATCTCGGAAGCGTTGCGCAGCGCGCCCACGAGTCCAACGGCACTTCTTTAGTTGGGCCCTCAGCACATTTTAACATATTACACACTCATTGGCGTTTTGCTCAGTGGTTGATTTTTCAAGAGAAGAACCAGCCAGTGGCTTGGAGGTTTTGGGGCCGATAACTCTGCAGACAACGTTGTTGGTCTGGTGTTCGATGAGCAGATGGCTCGACACCGAAATCTAGAGGACGGCGGCCACGCCACATGGCGCAGCGTGCTCAACTGAAGCACTTGTTTTTGCTCCACTGCTAGGGACTTAAGTCTATTGTAGCAAAGGAGTACATCCGCCTCAAAGCTTACCGTCGCAGGTAGGGTAGTCAACGTAGTCCCTTGGTCTTCATACATGCAGAGACTGTGCCAGCTATTGCTAGCGGCTCATGTGCAGGACCCTTCGCACCCAGAACAGCCAGCGCGCATCCTCAAGGTATTCGAATACCTGGAGCGGGAAGGTCTCACACAGCGATGTGTCCGCCTTGATGCGAGGCAGCCTGCCAGCATTTTTGATGGTTGTGAGGGGCTCTGTCATTGACTTGCAGGCTCAGTGGCCTCACTGGCAAACCTGCCCTTGACATTCGCAGCTGAGGAAGGCAACCCAGGAGGAATTGAAGCTAAAGCACACCGCCGCGCATGTCAAAGCTATGTTTGAGATAGAGAACATGTCAGAGAAGGAGCTTTGTCCAAGACTTGTTCATAGGGCAAGGTCGCACTGCGTGATCAACAGTTTGAGTAGCAGCTTCAGCTGCACGCATTTGAGGAAACGATGGAGCTAGGACACAACCTTAGTTGCCAATCTACCGGCGCAGTGAAACAGCAGAGCTCTGATGGCAGCCGCTTCTGATCGCGTAGGCGGTCCAAAGCCGAGGTCATAAGTACGATAGCATCTTCTTGTGCCCGGAGTCTCTGGAGGCAAGGATGCTGGCTCCAGGGAGCTGGGGGCTGTATGAGCAAGGAGCTCCAGGAGCTGATGGCAGCATGCCCTGAGCCATGAGACGTCACGAGTCAGGGTAGGTGGAGCGGAGAGTTCCAAAAGCCTGTAAAGTTTGTACAAGCAGTGGCTTCTTTCGGTTCCGTCAGAATCCTCGTCCCCAAACATGGTGTTTCGGTCCTCGCTAGGCTGCCTTGCTGTCAGCTGGCAGCGTCCTGGCTGCCACGGAGCGGGTCTGCGCCGGGGAAGTGCAGAGTGCTGTCTGCGTGGTGCGCCCACCAGGCCCGGAAAAAACACACACACATTGTGCAGATTTTCCATTCCAAATTTAGTTAGTGTACTCTTCTCAATTTAATTTGGAAAGTCCTCCGGAGCTTTTTCCAGGTGTTTGTGGTGGTTTTTGTTGAGATACATCCCACTGTCGTTCTCATGCTTTTCATACTGGTTAGCCGAGCATCGGCAGCCTCAGCAGCAGCAGCGGTGGTGACAGGGCGATGTCGATGTTGTGACCTTGTTAGCGTTCTGTTGGTGTCATTCTTGCTCTTGCTGGTGTTGCTGTTGGTGGTATGCTGGGCCCTTCTTCTTCCTGCGTCTCGTTGTTGTTGTTGTTGGTGGTGGTGGTAGTGGTGGTGGTGGGTTGGATGTTTTTTCTTCCAGACGGTGTGGTTGGCGTAGTTGGGATTGGCTGATCTGCGTTGGTGCTGACACATGCTGACCAAAGCACTGCGTCTCCGCCCAGACTCACCGCTTCAGCCCAGACCCGCATCTGCGGCTCCTTGTGCATCTCGCGGGATTCCCTGAGAGGACATCATGCAGAGAATGATGCAGCACGTGGCTTCTGCCTTTTCGGCAATGTGGGTCTGGCAGCTGCCATGGCTAGACAACGAGGCCGAGTGTTCATGGCGCCCTTGGGATTCAATAGTGATTCAATTTGTTTGGCTGATTTTGGCTGCTGGCGCCAGGCTTGTCTTCCAAAACGCTCATTGTGGATTTCGACGTTCATCACGGGAATGGGACGCAGAAAATGTTTGAAGGTGATAGCACCGCTGCTGGTCTGCTGTGGATGCTGTGGTCTTGTATTGTTTGGTCGGTGATATCCTGCACATCTGGACCCACACCAAAAGGTCAGGAACAGCGTGGCTTACATGTTTTGAAAACACAGGAGAGCAAATCTTCAGATGCGTTACACACCTTTTTCGCATTGGCAGTCTGAGGTTCTCTTTTGCTCTGTGCATCGTTACGACCGTGGCAAGTACTATCCCACTGGACCTTTGGGAAACTTCACCAGCCACGGAGTTGGCGCAGGCAGACCGCTCCTCTTTGGAAGCAGTAAGTGCATCGTGAGACGTTGTTTTGCGGTTCATGATTGTTTTGATATTCTCCGATTTGATTGGCTCGCAGGCGAGGGCTACACTGTGAACGTCCCATGGGAGGTAGAGAAAAGCAAAACTCCGCCTGGAGACGCCGAGTTTCTCTACGCCTTCGACCGCCTGTTTCTTCCGATCCTCGGCCCGCCATTGTTGCTTCCATCGGTCTTTAACTTAAACATGGCTTTTGCCCTGAACCGGCCTATCTCCATCAGGATTGCCCAAGCCTTTGAGCCCGACTTGGTCCTCGTTTCCGCCGGCTTCGATGCTGCGCCCGGTGATCCGCTCGGTTGGGGCCACAGCATCGCGTGTCATACATAATCCAGTTGTGCTGGAACATGTTGGGACATCCTTGCATGGAACGCCGCTGACCGGGCCTTGTCTTGGCCTGCATTTGATACAAAGAAGCGACCGGTGCCTGCCGGCCAAGGTGGCTGCATCGTGACGCCAACTGGATTCTATGAGATGACCAAGAAGCTCATGGGAAGCTAGAGCAAATGATTAGAGACTCCGGAGAGCGTCTTTCACTCTCATCATATGGATGCCGTTCTTAGTCCCCGCCTCTCGTGTCAAGATTAAAGGCGGCATTAGGGTTTTGCAAGGGATTACAAAAGCCTCTGCGCGGCAAGCTCTAGCCAGGGCTGGCGCGAGAACAAACAGTTCCTAATACATGTTGGATGTGTCTATATGTATACACTTTGTTGACATGCATTCGGCACGAAAGACGGCGCAAGGGTGGGCGTAAAGCAACCCTGACGCTGGGGCATTGATATTAGAATTCTGAACAGCATCCATATGCCAAGGACTTGCAGAAGGACGCGTGGTCTTGGCGCAGGAAGGCGGCTACAATGTTGAAAGCAACAGCCGCTTGGATCAACTTCACTTTGCTCGGCTTGACCGCGCGATCTTGGATTTGTGGGATGCCAGTTGACCGGGAACCTTCAATGCCTATATGCCCTTGTTCCTTTGGTTACAGACACGAGAAGAAGCTCTTTCCTGATTAGGCTTGTCCTTGCTTGCGTTTGCTCACGCTCGCAGGTGAGTCAATGGCAGCATGTGCTCGAGCTTTGCTCGGAGAGGAGGCGCCCCAGAAGGCTCAGCTGCCAGGCCTGCTCCCGTCAAACCCTTCGCTGCTTACAGTCAAGGGAGTCTCGTGTAAGCTGTTGTCTTTTGTCAGCACTGCTTGCAGCTTCCATTCTGGGACCAGCTCTTGACGCAGGCTTCAACGTGGTCGATGAGAGGGATTCGCAGCCAGCCGCCATGAGCCATGTTGCCACGGTTGAAGCGTGCAGGAAGCACTATGCGCAGTTCTGGCCATGCCTTCGCCCGCAAGTCTTCTGAGCCGCGCTGGGGCTGGAAAAAGGCAAACATGCATTGCTCTTCAGCCACAGAACGAGCAGACATCTGCAGGGCACGGCGCAAGCCCCCAAACACCTGTTGTTTAAGACGGCCGAGGTTGCTTACAGCCTCCTAGCAGTCTCACCTGATCGCCACCTGCAGTACATTCACATCATGACGGGCAGCGAGCCACTTCAAAACGGAATCTCGCCCTGCTTATTGTTTTTGTAAATAAGTGTCTGGCTTTACATAATTGGCAGAACTCAAATGAATTACGTCAGGCATCCTGGGCTTCATTGCAGCGTTTGTGCAGCCACAGCAGGCTGTGTACCAGGCAGGGCGTGGCATGGTCTTGCAGTGGATCCATCCTCCTAGAAGCACCGCAAAGGTCATGGAGATGCTTGAGGGCACCAGCCTCAGCTTTTAGAGTTCCTTCGCCATGGAAGTGCCATTTTCGGTGCAGGCCCAGACCTCTTCGATTTCTTAGCCCAGAGATCCTCCAAGCTGGAGGAAAGAATAGCTGCCGGGCTCGTCAAGCACCTTGATTGCCCAAAGCTGATGCAGAAAGCTGCTGCAAAGAGGCAACTCTGTCTGACCTTCTTTTTCAGCTAAGGCAAATGCTCAAGGCTCCGCAGTGCTTCTGCAGCGTGTTCTGGTTACGAGATGTTACAAGATGAAGACTTGCATTGCATTCTAGGGTTGTTCCTCAGCAGGGTCACCCAAGTGGCAGATGTATTACAAACTTGCGACCAAAGGCAGAGTGGCATGATCAACATCCTGCCAGTGCTTCATAGATGTGATGCTGATATTTGTGCTTGATGGGTTGCTCATGGTGCATTGCTTGCGCTTGAGTATGTTGGAGTGAAGACTGGGCTCACATGCAGCTCTGAAGGCCGTGAACTTCCTGCACCGCAAGGTTGGCGCGCTCCACCGCTGGGGCCACATCAATTGTCATACAAGAGAAGTGCCTGCATTTCTTGCATGAGTGTGTGAAGAACTCGCATGAGGGTAGCCGAACTTAGCCAGCTTCTCAAGGCTTCAAATCTAGATCTTTCAGCTAATCCGGGATTGCGGTTTTCAATCCAAAGCTGTTACGCTCTGAGGGGACATCAAGCCGGAAAACTTTGGCTTCATCAAGCCGCCCATTGCAGGGCAGCCGCTGCCGGAACTGAAGTGGCATGCATGCATCAGTGCAAGGGGACGAGTGTGATGTCCAAATCACAATAGTGCTGATGAACTGTAGCATCTGCTCCCAAATTGTGCTGCACTACGAGGCTTTTCGACCTGGGGCTTGCTTGGGTCTTGAAAGATACAGTCACGGATGAGAGACTGTGCTGCAAAAACCGCCCCCAACAACACCTTTTTTTTTCTTTGTTTTTTCGGAGTTCACGTCCGGCACATGCTTGACTGGGGTTTGTGGTTGACCACGAGTCTTGGTCATGGCTGGTCCGATGTCTTCTCGCATGTCGTTATACGAGAGGTCCCTGTATGTCCCCTTTGCAACCCAGTCACATCTTTGTGGAACGGATACTTGACCATGCCCCGCTCAGGACAGCCAAGACTTTATTGCGAATCAAGCGATGTGGAACTGCCTGCTACATGGCACCAGCATCTCGTCTGAAGTTTAACGTGCGATTTGCCGAAGTGATGCCCTAAAACCAACAACCCTAAACCCTGTGCAAGGAAGTCTGGGATGGAAACACAGGTCCACCTTCAGATGTGCCATGGCTGGGAGAATACTACAAGGGGTCGGGTTTTCTCACGTCGGCTGGGTTTTTTGCACAGCGAGCAGCGTCCACACTGGGGGACCCTGTTCAGAAGCATGCGCTAGAATAGATGTCATGCAACAGCTTCTTGTAATTAAGCTGATTCTACAGCGTCCACAGGGTTTCAGCTCATGATGCGGCATGTTTGTATGACATCGCTATATGTGTTGAGCAGCGTCCACACTGGGGGACCCAGTTCAAAAGCATTAGCTAGAATATACGTAACGCGAAAGCAATTCTTGCGATTGTGCTGTTTCTACAGCGTCCACAGCGAAGTTTCAGCTCATCATGCTGCATGTCTTCATGGTAATACTAGATATGAGACGCTGTCACATCCATGCAGTTGCAACTCAAGAAAGGCCACCCTTTCTTTCGTTGATTGTTCACGTATCATTGCCCAATCGTTTAGGATTGAAAACAGTCTCGGGCGGCCTGTTTGGTCCACAACGCATTAATCGGGAACTGGTAGTATCTTATCATCTCATGTTGCGGCATGTGTAAAACCAGCGTCTACATGGGAATCGTACGACACTTAAGACTTGAATCTTGTGACTTTCTTCTCAAACCCCAGTGTTCGGATTTCTCACGGAAATTGCATATAAACCGTTAGGGTTTCTAGGGGCGCTCCAAATGAAATGAGAAGTTTACTTTGGGAATTCAAGATGATGTTAGGATGTACTGGGGATTCTCAGACAAGAAGATTCGACTCATCTCGGAAATGACGCATAGAATGCTTGAATGTATAGGGGGTCTCCATGTCAACTGAAGGCATTCATCGGGAACTGACAGTATCTCATCATCCCATGTTGGGGCATGTGTAGAACCCCTATCAGCGTCTATATGGGGAATCATACAAAATTCAAGCCTTGAACCTCGCGATTTTCTTCTCAGACCCCAGCGTCCGCAGCAGAACGGGAAAATCTGCCCTTACGTCGGGTTGCCCTGGATTCAGCGTCTACATAGGGATTGCTATTTTCTGACGCGTAAAAATCCCGCTGATGTGAAATC